CCAACTAAAAGAAACGTCTGACCTCTGTGATTGCCAACAAGGGTTTGCCACCAAGTACTAAGTCATGTTTTGCAGAGGGGTCAAATACTTATTTCCCTCATTAAAATGCAAATCAATTTATACCATTTTTGACATGCGTTTTTCTGGATTTTGTTGTTGTTATTCTCTCACAGTTCAAATAAACCTACCATTAAATTATAGACTGATCATTTCTATGTCAGTGGGCAAACGTACAAAATCAGCAGGGAATCAAATACTTTTTTCCCTCACTGTATGCCTTACCTCTTTATTTCCTAATTTTATCTCCTTCACTGGACCTCGTTTTCATCGGGCCCGCCAGCGTAGGCGCCGTGCCCGTGTCGTGTCTGCGCATGTACACGCTCAACAAATGGTGACGTATATGTGTATATGTGCCCACCATGTGTGTAGGAGCACATGCTAATGGCGTGCACCACTGGACTGCACTACGTTGGTGCTTAGCTGCTCGCCTTCCCTGGTTGTGCACGTGTCCGAACTGCACGGTCTACCGAACCCACCGGACTACGGCTTTGGGCGCCACGCTGCTACCGCTGTCATCACTTCCTCACCCACCATAAACCTCCACACCCTAACCCAGGTCCTGCTTGCTTCTCTTACCTTGACCTCCTGAACCTCCATTTCGCCGCGACTCTGCACCATCTATACACCGACACCAGCCTCATCTCCAAGCTCGCCGACCTCGGCCTCCTCTATGGTCATCGTCACTATCGTCGGTCCCGTGGCTGCAGGGGTGGCAGGAGCTGTGATTCCCGGCAAAACTCTCCACTTACTACAAAGAAACCTGGACCAAGGTTGCATCACACTCATTCACCTACCTTGTCCTTTATTTACCTCATCCTAAATTCCCGCTCAATCACAAATAAATCTGCCCTTATCTACGATATCCATGATCACCAAATTGATCTGCTCATCACCGAGACCTGGTTCATACCAGACCTCCCTCCTGCTCTTACAGTAGAAGTTTCGCCCCCCGGTTACAGCACCCTTCGTGTCCCTCACGTGATGGATCGCCAAGGCTGGGGCCTGGCTGTCATTTTCATCAAACCTCTATAATAAATATCGATGATTTCATCCACCTACGAATTTGTCATTGTTCCTCATCACTAGAACCTGTTTTTTCAAACTCATCTACCATCCCCCAGAAGGAAGCATCTCCATGTTCTTCAGTGAGCTCTCGAATCTCATCCATTACTTACCCAGATCACCGCACCGGTTCATACTCGCTGGTGATTTGAACTGCCCGGTCCTTCCATACATTCCATTGATCAATGCTTGGCTGACCTATTAGTCTACCACAACCTGGCCGTTGTAAACTAGCCCACTTGACTCTCTCCTACTGGTATTGAGAGCATACTGGACCTAATAATTAAATCTGACTCGGATCGTCACATCTCCATATCTAGCCAGTCCAAGGTCACCTTCTCGGATCACCATTCCACCCTCATACACCTCCACTCACCCAAGCCACCTGCTGCAAACTCATCCTGCATTACTCAACCTGAAGGGCATTGACCATCGCACCCTCAGGCCCTCACTTGAAAACATCCAATCATTGCATAAACTTCTCTTGACCCAAACATCTGTTCCAACCAAGCAGAACAAGACCTCAGGGCCGCTCTTAACAACGTCACACTACTTTAAATTTAGGTCAGTCAGATCATCATCTCACTACTCGCTTTGGCTGTTTGCAGATGCCATCCTGGCAAAGCATCACAGTAGATGATGCGAGCACACCCGAGTGTGCAGCAGTCTGGCATCTTATGCGAGTCGTTTATAAAGCTGCCTGTTAGAGCAGCAAACAGAATTTCCTTGCCACTCGTGCCACCTATGTGTAGTGACATATAATGGGTCACTATCGCACCTAGCGCCAGTTACTGATAGAGGGGAATTGGTAGTGTAGTAGCCCTCTCTGCCAGCAGGGTGTGCTATGTAATGGAAAAGGGTCTCTACGGGGCATGGTTCTGGTAGCTGGCAGAGAAAGGGCATCTGAGGACATAGCAGCCCGGTTGGCTGGCAAGGGCACGTGACAGGACAGGGTAAGGATGTGGGTCAAAGGTGACAGAAGAGACACATGGTGCATTGCCCAGAATCTTCTGGTAAGTTCCAGAAGGGGGCGTGGCCGAGGGCAGAGCCAGGCCACGCTAGGGGGCATAAAAGAAAGGTCCCGGGGTCCCATTGGGGCTGTCTGCTGGAACGGAACCCGCCGTGCTACTATATTCTTAGGTTTTTTCAGTAAAGTCACGTAGGTAAAAAATTAAAAAGAATAAAAGTAAAATAAAAATCACGACGTTTCAGAGGCAACACAAGCTTCCGTCTTCAGGTGGAACCGTCACAGCACGATAGCTGTATCAAGTGAGAGAAATTCCAAGAAAACAGTCCTTGTATATATACTGGTTGAGGGTGGGAGGAGCCAAGGTAGTCCCTGAATATTATTTTTGTGAGGTTCAGTGCGGCTGAAGCACGCTATTAGGAATGAGCCTTTGTTGTGTAAACTAGGTGCGGCTGATGTAAAGGTGCGTGTAAAAGGGACTGAGCCTTTTTGTTATGTAGAGATAAAGCGGCTGAAATCGCTGCCAGGAAATGAGTCTTTGTTGTGTAGAATGGTTGACTGAGCCTATTATTAAGTAGAGGTGGTGCGGCTTAAATCGCTGCCAGGAAATGAGTCTTTGTTGTGTAGAATGGTTGACTGAGCCTATTGTTATGTAGAGGTGGTGCGACTTAAATCGCTGCCAGGCATGCTCCAAATATGTGTAGTTAAATCTTTTTTGCATGGTTAATAACATCTTTCCAATGATTACTGAGTTTGTACCCATCATCACGGTTGAAATTATGTCTGTTTGTATATTTGGATGGCCTCGTGTACAAACCTTTGATGGTAGCCAGGAGGCTTGCAGAGCACTTTAGTCTCAGAAAAGACAATTTCATGAGCCCACAGCGTTGTAGCAATGATTGGCAACGGCGGAAGAATCAGTTTTGCCGTGTTTCAGATCTGACTTGTGCTCGGCATCGTGGGTCAGGCAGTGCCGACTAACCTGACCCGTTTATGTAATTACCCTGTGGGAGTTTCCGGTTATGTAGTTATCTTGTTGTGGTTACGTTTATATAGTTACCCCATTGTGGTCGTAGAATAAACGTGTTGCCTCTTGAGTTAAGTGTATCTGAACAGATTCACTTGCCTTCAAGACAGTGATATTTAGAAATTTACCTATATTCAATGAGAAAACGGGTGAATTGGTGTCTTTTTGTTCACGTAAAGGCCTGGTCACAAAAGCAAAGTGTATGGGGAATAATAGCCATTTTCTATACTTTTTAGGCATAAGCAATTCAAAAAAGTAACACTTAGTGTAATGGTGCATCCTTTTGGGACATGCTTTATGTAAAAAAAAAAACATGTATCGTTCCCGATGACCACTGCAAAGTATGATCTTCAGTTTTGATTATAGTGTGCTGATGTTTAAAGGTGTATTGAAAAATGTTGATACTGCTACTGATACTCCTGCTGTTATTGAGTGACTCATCCAGCCAGCTATGGCTGCAAAGTTTGGTCACACATGTTATGGATAGTTGATTGTTAAATTTGAATCAGTTCCTATTATCACTGTTACATTGTTTTTATAGCTTTATTTTGGTGATTTTGAAAACGTTTTGGTTTTGCCATGTTTGTTTCTTGTAGTAGAGTTAGCCTGATAACTTTAATTTAATTTAGTCTTCGCTCATTTACCAGCTTCACATTCCTTATTGCCGTACAAATACTGGAGGAAGGGCCTTTCTTATTGATGCCCCCAGGGTCTGGAACGCTATCGCCAATAAACTACAACTAGGATCACTACCTGTGAGATCTTCACTCAAAACTGCACGGGGAAAGTGTAACACCCCTAGCTGCCACTGCTATTCAGTGGCCTGAAATCAAATGTTTCGCTCCAGATGACCGCTGCAAAGTATGATCTTGTGTTTTGATTATAGTGTGCTGATCTTAAAGGTGCATTGACAATTTTTGATACTCCTGCTGTTATAGAGTGACTCATGCAGCCAGCTATGGCTGCAAAGTTTGGTAGTACATGTTATGTATATCGTTTATTGTAAAATTTCAATCACAGCTCCTATGATCACTGTTACATTGCTTTCATAGCTTTATTTTTATTTCAAAAACGTTTTGGTTTAGCCATATTTGTGTGTTGTAGTACAGAGTTACTGATAACTTGAATCTAAATTGTCTTATGGTTGTTATTGTTTGACTTGCATCCCACTGGGATTTTTGCACACAGCATTGATATACGGTTCTTTTTCTGGAAGACTTTGCTGTTTTTTCCTGGATTTTTCTGTTTGTGCGTAGTCACTAAGATGTTTGTTGTTCATGTTTTGTTTGTTGCGGTTGCACCCGATTCAAGAGCCGAATGGCTCACAGGGCTATACCAAATAAATGAAACCGAATCTAAATTGTCTTATGGTTGTTATTGTTTGACTTGCATCCCACTGGGATTTTTGCACACAGCATTGATATACGGTTCTTTTTCTGGAAGACTTTGCTGTTTTTTCCTGGATTTTTCTGTTTGTGCGTAGTCACTAAGATGTTTGTTGTTCATGTTTTGTTTGTTGCGGTTGCACCCGATTCAAGAGCCGAATGGCTCACAGGGCTATACCAAATAAATGAAACCGAATCTAAATTGTCTCATGGTTGTTATTATTTGACTTGCATCCCACTGGGATTTTTGCACACGGCGTTGAAATATGGTGTTTTTTCTGGAAGACTGTTTTTTTCTGTTGCGTGTAGTCACTTTAAGATGTTTCTTGTTCATGTTTGTTGCGGTTGCACCCGAGTCAAGAGCCGCATGGCTCACAGGGTTATACCTAATAAATTAAACTGAATGCTTTAGCGGGTTTTGGTTTATGGTGGGACCCCTATTTCACGCGACACTCCTAATGACCATGTGCGGAATATAAGCAAGACCTCTGCCAGTATATTCCAAATGTATAGGGTTTACTAATAATTAAATGTCTAGACAAATCTTACATTGTCAAAGGGCAACAGGCTTACTACTTCCCCGGAGAAGTGCACGCATCACAACCACGATACCAACTTAAATGACCCTCGCAACAACACAACAACCAACACCGTCATACAACAACCCAATGACCACGGCTTTACCAACTTCCTCCACCACGAATGCTGGGGGAGAAAAACCTGCTGAGCAAAACCCCGAAGGCATGCCCGAAGCATCGCCCGGCTCAGAAACAGAACATTCTCAGTGGATCAGTCCCCTTTCCCCTAGAGCAGGATCAGTCCTGGCCATCTCGAGCAGGATCAGTCCCAGCCACCTCGAGTAGGATCAGCAGGCCACTTTGAACAGGATCAGTCATGGAATAAAATCCCGCCCGCCTCAGTCTCCATCTCCAGCACAGCAGCCGCCTCAAACAAGACGAGGAGCGGAATTAAATCCCGCGCCCCCTTCCTTTGGTTCCCCTTGGCAGAGCCTTATATTCAATCACACCCTTGCAACCACTTTTACACAAGTCCCTCACTTCTCCCCAATCAAAGAAACACCCTGCCCCCCAAAGCTATCACTTTGACTGCCACACTAAGTACCCAGGAACAAAAATTACGTTACATAGTGTAATCATCACTGGTGCTGACATGAGCAGAAATCGAACTCAGGTTGCCGGGTTTGAAACAGCAGCGTGCTAACCGTACGCTACTTGGACACCTGCTGCCCCAACTACTCTGCTTTGTCCAAGAAGTCCACCCATACCTCCACCTTCACAACATGCTGGGGGTCAGTTCTCGCTCCGTGATAGTTTGGATTCTCCTCCTCCCGCTTCACGCAACCTCCATCCACCCGAAGGTCTGGTCCTGGAGTTGAATAATGAGATTCTTTCTTCACTCCTTCTAATTTTACCTTCACTCCTTCACATTCCACCTTCACTTCTGGCCACGTTTCAACGTCGACATTCTCATCTGGTTCCCGTTTCACTGGAGACTGACTCATTGTAGAACTTTGACTCTCATTAAGCAATGTCACTTTGTGCTTCCCCTGGACCTGCTCTGGTCTGTTTCCAACTTCTGACCGTGAATTCGTTTGACTAGGCACGGTGCACTTAAAGTGCTTCTCGTCAGAATGTGTTCTCTGATGCTTGTGAAGATATGCCGACCGTGTAAAAGCCTTCCCGCACATGTTGCACTTGAAGGGTTTATCCCCTGTGTGTATTTTATGATGTGCATCAAGATTTGATTTCCGCGAAAATTTATTTCCACACATGGTGCACTTGAAGGGTTTAACTCCTGTGTGCATCTTCCCGTGTGCATCAAGATGTGCCGACTGCACAAACGCCTTCCCACACACGGTGCATTTGAAGGGCTTCTCGCCTGTGTGTATTTTCTTATGCTTGTGAAGATATGCCGACCGCGTAAATGCCTTCCCACACACGATGCACTTGAAGGGCTTATCGCCAGTGTGTGTCTTCATATGCAAGTCAAGATTTAATGACCATCCAAATGCCTTCCCACACACAGTGCACCTGAAGAGCTTCTCAGCAATGTGGATTTTGTGATGTCTGTTAAGAAGATAATTCTCTGCAAATCCTTTCCCGCAAACGGTGCACTTGAAGGGCTTATTGCCAGTGTGTATTGAATGATGTATTTCTAGAACTGATAACCGTGAAAATGACTTTCCACACACAGTGCACTTGAACATATTCTCTCTTGTGTGTATTTTCTGATGCACATCAAGATTTGATTTCCGTGAAAATGAATTTCCACACATGGTGCACTTGAAGGCTTTTTCTCCTGTGTGTGCTCGCTTACTCTTTGGTTCTTTCGGTGCTCGCTTGTTACAATTAGGAGTTCCTGACCATGCAAATGCTTTGCCAGGTACAGTGCACTTGAAGTGCTTCATCCCTGTGTGTGTTCTCTGATGCTTGTGAAGATATGATGACCGTGTATACGCCTTCCCACACACGGTGCACTTGAAAGGTTTTTCTCCCGTGTGCATCTTTTCATGTGCGTCAAGATGTGATGACTGTACAAACGCCTTTCCACACACGGTGCATTTGAAAGGCTTCTCGCCTGTGTGTATTTTCTGATGTCTTTTAAGAGTACCTGCACGCGTAAATGCTTTCCCACACACGGTGCACCTGAATGGCGTATCGCCAGTGTGCGTCTTCATATGCAAGTCAAGATTTGATGGCCATCCAAATGCCTTCCCACAAACAGTGCACCTGAAGAGCTTCTCGGCAATGTGGATTTTCTGATGCCTGGTAAGATGTGATGTCTCTGCAAATCCTTTTCCACATACGGTGCACTTCAAGGGCTTATCGCCAGTGTGTATTGTATGATGTACGTTAAGAATTGACAAACGGCTAAACGACTTTCCGCACACGGTGCACTTGAACGGCTTCTCTCCTACGTGTATTCTCTGATGCACAAAAAGATTTGACGACTGTGTAAAGGACTTTCCACACACGGTGCACTTGAAGGGCTTCTCTCCCGTGTGCGTTTTCTGGTGTCTGCTAAGATTTGACAACTCTGCAAACACCGTCCCACACACAGTGCACCTGAAAGGCTTCTCTCCTGTGTGTGTCTTCTCATGTCTGCTGAGATGTGATGACTGTGCGAACGCTATCCCACAAACGGTGCACTTGAAGGGCTGCTCGTCCTTGTGTGTTTCCTGGTGATTCTTCATCGCACCGATGTCATCCATGCTGTACGTACACTTGCCGCATTGGTAACTCTTCGCAACTGGCTGCGCCGAGTGTCTCTTCTCCATCAATGGGATTGATTCTGCAGATAGTCACAAATTTTCAACAATATACATCAATATGCATACGCATCACACTCTGTACGCTTACAGACAATATAGGAATACGTCACACACGAATACAGCTCACTATCACATCTTACGCCAGTGACTAGAAGATGCTAACTACCTCGCCTGTCATACAGTAGATTGTGGGTTCGATCCTGGCGCCAACGCCTGTTGTATATTTGGAATTTATATGTTCTACCCATGGTCGTGTGGATTTTTCTCTGGGTCCTCCAGTTTTTCCCTCCATATTTAGAATCCACGTCACACGTTTAGAGTATTTAGTTGCTATACATTTCCACATGATGAGCCACTTAATTGAGATATATTTTGTGGTCAGGTCACTTCCGAATAAGATTTACATAGCTCAGTGGGCCTTAGCTGGTAAAATAAAAACAAAAACCATAGCCCAATGCGGCGGGTCCAGTTACGTTTTTGAATATTGCCGCAATTGGAAAATCTGCAACCCGCAAACTTGAAGGGAAATGGGAAATCTCTGCTTTAATTCCTGGCTTGTAATACATAAAACCTTCCTGCTTTGATTTTCCCTTACCCTGCACCGATCCAGACAAGACATGGGAAGTTTTTGAACGAAAAATATGATTAATATTTTATAGTGTGAAGTTGGCACAGTAGGGGTTACAGCTGGTACATCTACCGGTCCTCTCAGTCAGCCAACCCATGGCACCTGGGTCTGTCCCCTGACCTGTCAGCGAGCCTTCAACACTTCACATGGCCTCAAAGTACACCTGGCCTGGTACAGGTGTGGTGCTGACATCACTGTCATTTAGTGGAGAATGGTGGTTGTTGTTGTTCTTGCATGCGCGCAAAGTGTGTGTGCTATTGTGGTAACTCATTGCGCCCCTTCCGAAAAGCCAACAGGCATCAGAACTCACGGTAAGTGAATATAAAACAGTTACTTATTTAATGTTTATTTACTTACAGTATTTTTTTACAGTGTCACATGCAAATGTACAATATTTATTCTTGGTTATGAGTTTCACACTTCTTCCATTTTTGTTGAACCGTAACACTTTTCATAACACCGACCGGATGGGCATTTAAATACATTATATTATCGTGGTCCTAATTACGAACCATTTTAATTAGGAACTATTTATGTCCATAAGTCCTGGACTGTCTGTATAGCCATAAAAGACTGTTGGAGCAAGTGCTGTTAGCAAGCACCTATGAAGACCTGCATGGGCAACAAGGGGTGGGTGGCCATCATCATGCCTGGGCGTCTGCGTCTCCCTAATTACGATGGTTACACATCACACCTGATACTTATTTGAGGCTGAGTCGACCTAGGGGAGGCTCAGGAACAGTTCAGATAATCATCACTAGCGTTGGCCGTGAGCGGGATTTGAACTCTGGTCTCTGGGTACGTAGGGCAGTACATTAACCACTGCACTACCGCTCCCCACGCTACAACACGAGAAAACTCACACAATGTACATACTAATTACACACTTGAACACAAAGTACACCAACAGAAAATATCCTGTTCGTGCAAGTACTCATAGCCAGCACCTACTCATGCTGGCATGGCACACAGGGATGTAGCGTGGCCAGTATCACACCGGGCTGTCATTGTCTCTCCGAAAATGTATACGAACTGCAGGAGGTAATCATTTAAGGCCGAGTAGACCCACGAGAGGTCCAGGACCGGTTCATATATTCACTGCCACAGATGTTGGCTGAATGGAAATCAAACTCTGTCCACGGAGTTAGTCTCGAAATGCGTTATACACTGCGCCACTGCTCCCCACATTACCCTCTCGCATGCTCGTGACAAAATGATACACAGTCGAAAGACGGCCAGAGACAACTGCGGTCGGGCGTGGTTTTGGCCACAGACCCCCTAATGTATCATGCAACAGGGGGTCGCAAGTAGCACTTGCCCCAACAGTCTGTTAAGGCTATAGGGTGCATCTTTGTCTTTATCTTATGTGATGGAGTGGCGTTTGTATGCTCTACCCCTGTCTTGCATGGGACTCGTCCCAAGTTGTTTTGGTATCTTCTTATAGCTAAACCCACAAACAACGTCGCTAGTTTTGCCCACAACATGCCCTGTTGAAATACGAGACTGCTCAGTGAGGTAAAGCAGTAAGCCAGGCCGAAATAAATTACAAGCCAGGCCGAAATAAACTACAAGCCAAACAGCGGAGCGGGCAAGCTGTTTTCTGGCTGGGACCCACATTGCCACGTTTGAAAATTACAACCTCGACATCGATTCACAGTTATTACTCAATTGATATTCACACAAAATAAAGAAGCTCGGCTTTTTTGAGTAAACATAAGTAAAGAAAATGTTTGTCGGCCAATGCATGTTTTTTTTCAAGAGCACGTGTGGTTAATGCAGGCTTGATGCCTTGAAAAAGGCATGTATTTTGTGTTTGAACATTTTAATACCTATTCTTGGGTTTTTCGGTAAAGTCACGTAGGTAAAAAAATTTAATTAATAAAAGTAAAATGAAATAAAAAATAAAATAAAAATCACGACGTTTCGGAGGCAACACAAGCTTCCGTCTTCAGGTGGAACCGTCACAGCACGCTTGCTGTATCAAGTAAATTTACTTCGTGATTTTTATTTTATTTAACTTTTATTAATTTTATTTTTTTACCTACGTGACTTTACCGAAAAAACCTAAGAATATTAATCCTTGCAGTCACGAAAGCTTCAAATCTAGAATTTTAGTACCTGTTTTATTTCCAAAAAGGGTCAAAACCTATTCTTATCGTTTCATGATTTTGATACTGGCAAAAAGGTCCCAAAGATAAAATTGCTCAACCCGTGCTATAAATGCTCTGAAACGTGTATAAAGAAGGCTGCCTCTGGTGTCGGCTAATCAGTTACAAAGACAATGCATATATTATCAAAGTATGTTTTGCCACAATACGTGTGGTTAATGCTGATTTGATGCCTTACAAAAGGTTGTTTGAACATGTTAATACTGTACCTGTTTTATTATAAGAAAGGTTTGTATGATCTCACCCTGGTCTACAGCGTGATTGAGTGCAGTTTGTATATTTTCCAGCTGTTCTACAGATTGAGAAAGATTGGAGTTTGTATGGTCTCCCCCCATGTGCTGCAGAGTGAGTGGAGTTTATAAGTTCTCCCCGTTATCGAGTGAGAGTGGAGTTTGTATGATCTACCCATGTTCTACAGAAGGAGTGGAATTTGTATGATCTTCCCCTACGCTCTGGTTATTTCGGTAACGTCACGTAGGTATAAAATACATTAAATCACGACGTTTCGATTGCAACACAAGCAATCATCAGGTGGAAAAACCACAGCAAATATTTATTGCTGTGGTTTTTCCGCCTGACGATTGCTTGTGTTGCAATCGAAACGTCGTGATTTAATTTATTTTCTACCTACGTGACTTTACCGAAAGAACCAAAGAGTATGGATCCCTGCAGTCACGAACACTTCAAATCTAGACTGATCTTCCCCTGTTCTGCCACGGGGTTTCTTCACGTCCTCTGCTTTCCTCCCAAAGTAAAACAAACCCCATGCACAGCGATGGAACTCTGCTGCATTACGATTCGCAGCGGACGCTCCGTATCGCAGGCCGCATCGCCGTGACCTCCTCTATGGCATGCCTGGGCAAAGGTCATTGGACGTGAGAAGACATTTTCACTGCAGGGCCATTCTTAAAGACAAGGCAACCGTCCCCATAGATCTGCTCATTTGTCTGAACTCTTGTGGCATGGCTAGGCCTGCATCTCTAGGCCTCACGCTAACATGTTACAACCCATACTTGCTGCTACTCAATTGATATCCCTACGAGCGAGACAGAGAAGGAGCGAGGCTGTACCTGATGAAACAACAACAACAACCATCAAAGGCAAAGATCTCCCGTATAGCTTTAAGTGACTGTAAGGGACAAGTGCTGTTAGCGAGCACAACAACCAACACCACCACCACAACAACCAACACCACCACCACCACGATGTGAACTTATCACCTCGGGTGAGAGCGGCGGCAGCAGCAGCAGAGAGATCCACGGACTCGACTCCCTGACACCACCGATCTAATTAAACTCAAACTCGACAAGAACTCTCCTCGCCATTACCAATCGCCGCTGTTCGGCACAAAGGGGCCGGCGGCACCACCACGCACGAGACCGCCTGTACCAGGCCAGGTGCATCACTCGGCGTGACGTCACCACTCCGCGTGACGTAATCGGAGGCGTACACCACTAGTGACGGCATGTCACCCCCACCCGTCAACCGCGCGGTACGTCACGTCTCCTCGGACACTGCCAATTTCCGTTAAAATAACATCCTTATTTGGGCAAAGCGACGCCCAATAACTCCATGTATGGGCCTGCATCATTAACATAATTTATTCAGTTAAACCGCTGCTCAGTGGGGGTCGTGTCCCCGCAAGTGACGTCATGTCATGTCCCCCTCCGCGCGCTTCCACGTGACGTCACGTGATCTGAGGAGCTGCCCGTTTTGCTGGTCACTTGCCGAGGTGGGAAGTCCACACCGTGGTGGTGGTGTTGTAGTGGTTGTGGTGGTGGTGTTGTAGTGGTTGTGGTGGTGTTGTAGTGGTTGTGGTGGTGGTGTTGTAGTGGTTGTGGTGGTGGTGTTGTAGTGGTTGTGGTGGTGGTGTTGTAGTGGTTGTGGTGGTGGTGTTGTAGTGGTTGTGGTGGTGGTGGTGTTGTAGTGGTTGTGGTGGTGGTGGTGTTGTAGTGGTTGTGGTGGTGGTGGTGTTGTAGTGGTTGTGGTGTTGTAGTGGTTGTGGTGGTGGTGTTGTAGTGGTTGTGGTGGTGGTGTTGTAGTGGTTGTGGTGGTGTTGTGGTGGTGGTGTTGTTGTGGTGGTGGTGTTGTAGTGGTTGTAGTAGTGGTGTTGTAGTGGTTGTGGTAGCGGGGTGTTGTAGTTCAAGTTCAAGTTCATTTATTAGGTATAGCCCTGTGAGCCATTCAGCTCTTGAATCGGGTGCAACCGCAACAAACAAAAAACAAAAACATGAACAAAAAAACATCTTAAAGTGAATATGTGACTAAGTGCAAACAGAAAATCCAAAAAAAGACAGCAAAAATATTGCAGAAAAAACACCGTACACCAACGCTGTGTGCAAAAATCCCAGTGGGATGCAAGTCAAACAACAACAACAACCACAAGACAACTTATATTAAGGCCATCAGTCTAACTCTGTACTACAACAACACAAACATGGCTAAACCAATACACTTTTCGAAATCACCAAAATAAAGCCATGAAGGCAATGAAAAAGCAATCATAGGAACTGACGGAATTTTCACAATAAATGGCATAAACAACATGTACTACCAAAACCCTGCAGCCATAGCTGGCTGCATGAGTCACTCCACAACAGCAGGAGCATCAATCGGAGTATTGTAATTTTTCAATGCACCTTTAAGATCAGCACACTAAATCAAAACACAGGTCATACTTTGTAGCGATCATCCGGAGCGAAACATTTTATTTTAGGTCACTGAATAGCACTGGCAGCTAGGGGTGTACAACTCCTCTAAAGCAGTTTTGAGTGAAGATCTCATAGGTAGTGACTCAAGTTTCAATTTATTTGCAACAGCATTCCAGACCCTGGGGGCATCAATAGCAAAGGCCCTTCCTCCAGTATATGTACGGCAATAGGGAATATTAAGCTGGTAAATGAGTGTAGACCTTAGGTCAAATTTGTTCTTTGAAACAGAAACGAGATCCAGCAGGTAATCTGCAGATTTTTTTGCAAGTACATCATGAATAAATAAGATCTGGTGCACAAGCCGTCGAACATTCAGAGATGTTAAGTTTGACCCAATGTAGAGATCACAGTGGTGAGTCCTATATGGGCAGTTCAATGCAAATCTTAAGGCCGAGTGATACATTGAGTCAAGCTTCTTAAGTACAGTACTTGGGGCTGATTTATACACAATGTCACAGTAATCAAGTAGAGGCAGTACGGTAGCTTTAATCAATTCCAAACGGAACATAGGAGGGAAGCAATGCTTGTGTCGATATAGAAAACCAATTTTAATTTTTGTCTTTTTCCCAATATAATCAATGTGATCTTCAAAATTCAGTTTTGAATCCAGGATGACCCCAAGATACTTATAGATCTTGACTTGCTCTATTTGATCATTATTTAAGGTATGTAATTGGGGAAAAATAACTTCCCGCTTTAGTCCTGGTGAGAAGCATAGCACCTTGGTTTTGGCAGGATTTAGGACTAGTTTAAGAGCAACTAGCTGATGTTGTAGTTTGTTGAAATCACTCTGGAGCTTAGCAATCACGTCATCCGGAGAGCGGCCAGCAGTAATTAGTACCGTTGTCATCTGCAAAAAGATTTACCCTGGAATAATCCAGTTCAGTGCCCAAGTCATTTACATAAAGAGAAAACAAGAGGGGGCCGAGAATGGAACCCTGTGGAACCCCTTTTGTTATCTTAACACTGTTTGACCTCCAACCATCTGTGAATACAGTTTGGGTGCGAGAAAAGAGGTAATTTTTTAACCATTTTACTGTGTTTTCGGAAAAACCGAGGCAACTTATTTTACTAAGCAGGATGTTGTGGTCTACTGTATCAAAAGCTTTGGACAAGTCAAGAAAAAGACAGGCGCAGTACTGCTTATTATCAAGGCTACTGTAAATGTGATTCAGAGAGTCTAATGCAGCAGATGTGGTGCTGTATTTTTTTCGGAACCCAGATTGTTTTAGATGTAATAGATTGTTGGCGGACAGGAAACTGCTAATTTGGTAGGTCAATAATTTTTCAAAAATTTTCATCAACGGGGACAACATTGAGATAGGTCGGTAGTTATTTGGATCATCTTTAGGGCCCCCTTTGTGAAGTGGACGAACATAGGAATGTTTCCATTCTAGAGGAACTGATGCTTCTTTGATGGACAGGTTGAAAATATGGGCTATAGGTTTGTATATTAGGTGACCAACAGTTAGTAGAGCAAAGACGGGAATACTATCTGCTCCGGTAGAGGAGGACCCTTTGAGGTAGGACAGTTGTTTCAGAACATTACTTTCGTGGATTGGCTGAAAACTAAATTCGCTTAATGTTTGGACAGGAGTGTAGGAATTTGCATGAGCAGGGGTGACTCCCAATACATTATCAAATAGGGTACCAGCTTCAGAAAAATGAAGGTTAAAATTGTCAACTATTTTTTGGGGATCTGAAAAATATTCCCCATTTCGGTTAAGCTGAACGGGCAGATGATCTGTTTTGGATGCCTTTTCGATACATTTGATTGTTTTCCAGAAAATCCTGGCATTTCCATGAGATTCAAGGAGAGTGGAAGAGAAGTAGTTATTTTTTGCATGCCGTATTTTTTTGACGCATCTATTCCTTAAAATCCTGTATTCTAGCCAGTCATTGACCAAATTACTTTTCTGAGCACATGCCCAAGCCTTGTCCCTAGTTTTCATGAGCTTTGTAATCACAGGATCAAACCATGGTGGACGGTTGCCTTTAGTTTTGAATTTAACCAACGGAGCATGTTTGTTAAGAATTTGGAGAAACGTGTACCTGAAGGTCTCCCAAGCCGTAGTCAGGTTTGGAATATCACAGACCTTGTCAATATCCGAGTGAAGCACATCATTAGTAAATGCCTGAGTGCTGAAGTGTCTCATGGAGTGCTTCTCAACCAATTTAGGGGGGGCTTTGGGTCTGGCTGATGATCTCACCCCAAAAATGAAGGAGTGATCACTAAGGTTATTACCTAGAACACCAGTCAGTGCGAAATTGTGAGGGGCATTTGTTAATAGGACGTCAAGCAGAGATGACTGTCCCGGATTTTTTAGGTTGGGTCTTGTGGGGACATTTATTAATTGAAACAGGTTAAATTCATCTGCAAAATTTGTGGCCACGGCCGGCGGGTTTAGCCAATTCCAATTTAGATCACCCACTAAAACTATTTCACCTTTAGGGAGGCCCCCAAGAAGCTCTCTCAGTGCAGATGCAGCTTCAACATCCTTCCCACTAGGCGGTCTATAGCAGCACACTACCAATATGTGTTGATTATTAGGGAGAGTTATTCTGAGAGCCAGACCTTCAAAGCAACATTTTTTAAACAAGGAGTGAGCTGGTGAACATGTAATAGTATTACGAACATAGATGTCAATTCCACCTCCTTTAGATCCTCGGTCAAGCCGAAAAAGATTGTAGTTGTCAATCGTAATCTGCAAGTCATTGACGGCAGGAGTGAGAAATGTTTCTGTTAGGCAAAATATGTCCGGGTCAAGATTTGCTACTTCTAGTTTTAGTTGACTTAACTTAATCAAAAGCCCTCTGATGTTGACATGTAGAACACCAACACCTTTTCTGCCAGAAAAATCTACAGAATTATATGAGTTCTTTACATTTGGTCCAGGATGAAGCTCAATACCACCCAGAAATAAGAAAAGTAGAATTAATAGTTTGCACAGGTATTTTCTGTGAAAGGATGAAGAGCGACGAACCTTGGACGAATAGCAGCAGCTCGCAGATGGTGTTATTTTTAAGAGCAGAATGAAGTTTGGAAGGAGTGCTGGTGAAGTAATGGGACAAAGATAGGGTTTAAAAGGATATAATGATGGAGTGTAGAAGTGTCTATAAGTTGTTTCATTAGCAGGTGTAGTTGCAAATTTAGCAATAAGTATTGACGCGAAGTAACGCGGGTAGCCATTTGTAGAGTGGTGGTGGTGTTGTAGTGGTTGTGGTGTTGTAGTGGTTGTGGTGGTGGTGTTGTAGTGGTTGTGGTGTTGTAGTGGTTGTGGTGGTGTTGTAGTGGTTGTGGTGGTGGTGTTGTAGTGGTTGTGGTGTTGTAGTGGTTGTGGTGTTGTAATGGTTGTGGTGGTGTTGTAGTTGTTGTGGTGGTAGTGTTGTAGTGGTTGTGGTGTTGTAGTGGTTGTAGTAGTGGTGTTGTAGTGGTGTTGTAGTGGTTGTGGTGTTGTAGTGGTTGTGGTGTTGTAGTGGTTGTGGTGTTGTAGTGGTTGTGGTGGTGTTGTAGTGGTTGTGGTGGTGTTGTAGTGGTGTTGTAGTGGTTGTGGTGTTGTAGTGGTTGTGGTGGTGTTGTAGTGGTTGTGGTGGTGGTGTTGTAGTGGTTGTGGTGGTGGTGTTGTAGTGGTGGTGTTGTAGTGGTTGTGGTGGTGTTGTAGTGGTTGTGGTGTTGTAGTGGTTTTGGTGTTGTGGTTGTGGTGGTGTTGT